TAAACCAAACCGAATGTTTCGTGCGTCCTTTCTAAAGTCTTTAAATGTTCTGTCGATGTTTCGCCACTGCGAACTATCGGCGGGGTGTCTCAGCATCCCGTCCTGTTGACGTTCTTCAGCGTGCCAACGCATCATTGTAGCATTCCCCTTGTTCCTGAACAAACGCCTTAGCCGTGGTATTATAGGGAAATACCATATCACCTTAGCAGGAATTCTCTTCTTCGTTGGCTGCCCGTCAACTTCACCTGGATCATCTCGTCTAATCTTGTATCGTAGTGCTTTACAAACAGGGCATGCTTCTAGGTTCTCGTACTCCTCACCGCGATATAGTATACAATCATTTGGACATGCGTGAATCTTCTGAACTTCCAGTCTTAGAGGGTAGACTATCTTCTTAGCCTCGTACGTTGTCTCGAGCAATTTGTTTCCCTCCGGAAAAATGTTCTTGACGAGTTTCAATAAATCGCCAAATGCCTTGTCACTAACACCATTTTTTGCCTTCCATTACAAGAACTCCAAAGTGGTATCCAACTTTTTATGCCTCTGCTCGCAACCTGGGTACAACGACGTTCTGTGGTCCTCTAACATACGCTCCAATTTATGGGTCTCCTTTTTACTTTCACAGTCCTCCTTGGCGTCTTTCAACATCTTACCAAGATCATCCGCAGCGTCGCTATCGTCAGCATCCCTGTCCACCTCGTCCGTTTGATTTTCTTCAAATCCAGCATACTGAGCCCAGTCCGGAATGTTCTCGTCCTCCACTTCATCTTCTTCCATTTCAACCCCTTGCTCACTGTGGGATGTCCAACAATTATAGCTTGGCATAAACCCCGACTCAAACAAGTGGAAATGAATAGTCCTGGATGCAGAATACTACTTCTGGTTCTTACACTTATTGCATGGACAACAAATAAAACCCTTATGCTTGTTAGCTTCGGCTACTCTCAAAAAATAATGCACGCCATCGATAAACTTTTTGGACCACCGGTCAGCGTACATCCATTGCCGATCCACCTACATAAAATGAAAAAAAATCGTACATAAATAAATTTTCGTACAATAATGACAGTCATACAATAATGATAAAATAATTAAAAACTCTTTCAACAGTCATACAATAATGACATATCATTACTCATACAATTAATAATTATAAAATAATCCAACAAACAATTCTTATTTATTATTTTTGAAGTTCTAAACTAATATTAATGTTGTACTTCTTTTAATTTCCAATTTAGTTTGTTTTCTATTTTTTAATATTAATTTTCATTATATTTTAAACTATGAGAATAAAACTTTTTTAAGTAAACAAACAAAATTTCTATATATTCTTCTTTTCCACATAAATTTTCTCTCTCATCAACTTACAACAAAGTTTTGGAGACAAAAAAATGTGTGAAACATAACTCCAAAAGTAATATAACAACAAAAAACATTGGAGGATGAAGTTACTAACAACAAAAAAACATTGGAGGATGAAATTACTAACCTTTTAACACCTCCGATTTGTATATAATCACTAAAAAAATTTCACAAGAAATTTTGGTATGACCTCCCTTCTTTTTTGGAGAAATTTTGAAGCTTGCTCGGGCTAAAGGAGGAAGAAGACATATATAAATGTGGGGATTTTTAGTCCCGGTTGGTGTTATCAACTGGAGCTAAAGATCGCCGGGAACATCAACCGGGACTAAAAATCCCGGGGGGTCTAACAAGGTCTGACATCTTTAGAACCGGGACTAAAGATCATCTTTAGTCCCGGTCACATATACCCGTTGTAGCCATCAACCGGGACTAAAGATCATCTTTAGTTATCTTTAGTTCCGGTTTTTAGTGGAACCGAGATTATTGTGGATTTCGGCCGACCGATCAAAGATGGTTTCTTCACAAGTGGTTGGTGCACTGCTGATTGGGCTGGCACTTGGTCTTGTGTTAGATTAATTTGTTTTTTGGTTAGAAATTTATCATTGGCAACTCAATCGGTGCGAGGTGCTTTGTTATGTTCTTGGAAGCATATTGTGCTTAAGAATACTAATCAACTTTTGCTTATTTGGTTGTAATATGGAAATATGGTTTTGTCCTACAGGGCCGTGGAGAACATGCACATTCGTTTTGAAAAAGTGAAGTGGTTAATTACAAGCTGGTAAGTTGATTCTACGTGCTTGTGTCTATCATATGCATGTTTCACATGTTCACATGTCTAGATTGACAACACAATACAAGATTTAGTAAAGAAAAAAAATTACTAGTAAACGAAATCAGATTTGCGTGAAGCATCATCATCAACTACTAGTGAGTCATAAATATATCTCAGTTTTTTTATTGGACTAGTACTAACGAAAAAAGGCATTTACCATCCCGATTTTTTTATTTATAGTAATTATGATATCTTGAATTAAATAAGTAGTGAATCTGCTCTATTAATAACGAAAATAAGAAGGACGTTGTTGTTGAGAGCGTCCAGCCGTGGACGCTATTCGAAATAGTGTCCAATCTTGGACGTCATTCGTCACAGCGTCCTCACTTGGTGCGGCCCAATGACCATGGTCCTCCTTCCTGTCCACACGCCGCGGTGGCGAAGCTGCCGTCTGCCATCCATCCTTGAGGTCGATGAGAGAGAGAGAGAGAGAGAGGGCGAGGGAGAGAAAGAGGCGAGGCCATGGCATTTTTTGGAGTCATCAGCGCCGCCAGCCTCTCGGCTTCCATGCACCAGTTTGTTTGGATGGGCAAGGCAGTTGTTGTTCTCCAGTTACTCACTGGAACCCTCCCTGCTTGGTTCTACCTCAAACGTTTGCAAATTTCTCTTTCCACATCGATTCTGACTTTCAATCTGATCTGATTGTTCTATTGCAGGCCATTATTTATAAATTCGTGTCACCACATTTGCTTGCCAACCGAATTGATTTCTGAAGGCAAAGTTGTGATTTACCTGCTCTTGCGTTGGTCAAGCAAGGAATCCAAATGTAGCCATATTCCTGAGGAAGACGATTCGACAACATTTCTACAATACATGGTGATTTCAAGTTTCATGGCAGTTCAACATCCAAATAATTTCATTTGCTTCCGAATCAGCAATGAACTAGTATATATGGATTGTACGCTGCTAGCTATGATACTATGATCTGCACTAGATCAATGTAGATGTCAGCTGGGCAAATAAATACACGTTCGTGCAGTAAGTAATTATACCGATTCCATACAGCAAGAGATCCAGGGTAAACATAAAAGGATTCAGAACGAGGCAAATTATAGGGGCGATGACCATCATCTTGCTTCTCCGATCGGGATTATCCGCGAGACTTGAAGGCTGGATACTCCAGGTTGTTTCGTGGCCCAACCAAAGGTGGACGCTTTTACAAACCGCGTCCTAACCTGGACGTTGTACTCGTTAGCGTCCGCACTTGGACGCTGTCTAGCCCAGCGTCCTTCCTATTCCTACAAATCTATGTTTGGAATTACTACATATTTAACTCGAGGAGTACAGATTACTATCAATAAAAAAAATCGTTTTACCATCTGTTAGATTAATTTGTTTCATGTTAAGGAATTGCAATTCAATAGATTTGGATCCATAAGTACAAAATCAATCTCGTGTAACATAATGCAATCCAAATCCACGTTATGTAAGAATCGACATTGATTCTTCAGCTAGAGAATGAATCCATGTGATGCAAATGAATGCATGAGTTTAATAATAGTATACTAAATGCGAACGAGTGACCATAAGGGTTTGGATCGATAAATACAAAATCAAACTCGTGTAACATGATGCAATATGAATCCACGTGATGTAAGAATAGAAAATGAATCCATGTACGTGATGCAAATGAATGCATTAGTTTGATAATATAGTGTACAAAATGCATAGGTTTCCTCAATCAATCAGGGTAGGGTTTTCTCGTATCAGATTTTTTACATGAATTAAGTTCTTGTACAACCCAACTGTGTATGTGTGAGCCAAATTACGTATGTGCTGAGTCCGACTTGGGCCATATTGATGCAAAGGCCCGTGGACAACTTTGGTGGCAGCGCCAAACTCATCTATTGCCACGAATTGTTCTACTATAGCAATGACGAAATATTCGTTGCAATAGATCCTTGCTAGTTGCAATGATTTCTGGTGTTTGTTGCAATATCTAAGAATCATTGCAACGATTCAAGTTTGTGTTGCAATACCTAAAGACTCATTTGCAACGATTCAGGATTGCGTTGCAATACCTACAGACTCATTTGCAACAAAGTAGTTTCGTGTTGTTATATACATGTCTCTAATAACAACGCTCTAAATTCGTTGCGACATGGATAACTATTGCAACGATAACAAAAAGCGCGGCAATATCGTCACCCTAATTACAACGCAAATTTATTCATTGCGATACTTCTTACTTATTGCAACAAAAAAAATTACAATCGCAACACTACGCAATTAGTGGTAATATGCCCCCCTATCGCAACCAAATTAGACTTCGGTCGCAATAATCCTTATGTATTGCAACGAAAATCACGTCGTTGTCCAAAATTTCGTGGCATTAGCCTGAAAACCATGTAGTGAATGGATCCCACTAAAAAATGTTAGGAAATCACACGATCTCACAGTGCCATAACTTTAGGGTATTATCAGCCATCCAATCTACAACGAACGAACGAGACTAATCGCTACAGTGCGCAAAGTTTTAAACTATATCTACACTAAAAAACTGCAAATCACTGTTTTCCACTATAGAATCAGACTTATTTTACTGTGCGCCTGTGCAGTTTGCTCCTAAAGTCAAAGGAGCCGGATCCGAACTTCTATATGCCTAATTGTGCATGGCCGGCCAGGGCCTTGACGCCTGGGGGCCAAGGCGGCTGCACTGCCCGTCCTGCCTGCTGGCCTTGCTCCTTTTATTAAGATAGGTATATGCCTAGTAAATAATGAAATCATCGGATCCAACTACCAAACGTGCCATCCCATGATCTGAATTCGGCTCAGCCTATTCTACGATTGACAAAATGGAAAGAAAACTAACTACTCGGATGAATGAAACTTTGAACAATTCAGCCACCCATTACATGCAGAATCCAATGTAGCAAACTTAAAACAAATGCAACTAACTTAATCACTACTTTTAAAAAAGGCAGCCTTTGTGGTACAAATTTTCAAGCTAAAAATATACTCTTTTTGGGAGGGAGGGAGTATATTCGCACAAGGCTAGGGTGGTTGGGATGAGAGCTCACTGCTCTCTTCAATGCAGCCTCTGCATTTTCAATCTCATGATCATTTTTGTTATATTGGTAAAGCAAATACTGGACCGTCATGAGGCAGGGGAGATTTTCTAGAGCAGCATTAGTCACAGTCTCTGGTTTAGATGCATTTATATTGAGTATGAGTAGTTCTAGCCTTGGCATTGATCCCGCTGTAAAAATTGGTTGTTGCCCGATGAAACAAAAGTCCCTCAAACAAGAGAATCCATAGCAGCCACTGATTATGAGACTGTCTCTGTACCCTGGTACACGGAGAGAAAGCTGTAGCAGAGAAGGTAAACATCCGATGATTGATAGATCTTCACAATTCACTCCCTCTAGAGCAAGGCCTAACCTTTTGAGGTTGACCAACGAACCTATCCAAGTTGGAACTCGTGGCATTGGTGAGCCTGAGATGTCAAGTCCTTCGAGTTTAAGCGGAGCAGGGCACCAGGGATCTGGTAAGTAGATGTTGCCAAGTATGATAGAAGTCATAATATTTAGACGACGGAGGTTGTACGTGCCTAGTTGAAGTAGACAAGAGGCAATAGTCTTCATATGCTCTTCTGTGCATGCATCATAGTCGTAGATCAACAAATTCAGTTCCCTCAGATTCTTTAGCTGTCCAAGTTCTTTGACGATGTTAGAGGAATGCTTGGATAGGTCCACCGCTTGTAATGTCTCTAGTGCCTGCATCTTTGCAATGCCATCTGGGAGTTGAATCTGATTGCCAATAAATAGATGCATCAAATTTCCAAGTCGTGTAATACATTGTGGTAACTGAACCATATGGTTGTCCATAACATTCAGCGTCTCCAAGCTCTGTAGACATCCGATTTCTTCAGGAAGTTCAGTTAAACCTGTTTTCTTGAGATTCAGGTACCTTAATTGAAACAACCTGCCTATATTTGCAATACAGTGGCTTTTCAACCATTTGCAATATCTAAAACTCAGAACACGCAAGTGCCTGAACTCCAATAGAGAAGGCAACTTTGGTTGATAGCAGAACACATCAAGAGATCGAGCATGAGACAAGTCAGACAACCTTCTTTGTAAGATTGAATTCCCATCCTCGATACCAATTTGAAGGGAGAGCCGACGAACCTTGTTCGTCCCAATAGTTTGATCAGGAGAAGCTACTAAAGTAACAAAGTTATCTTTGATGGACATCGAGATGATAAAATCAAGAATTGTGTCATGAACTTTCCAATCATCCTTGTTACTGCAACGTTGGATCAAATTTCTGTTGGCGAGTTCATTGAAACACATTTCTCCTAGCTCAAATGATGTATAACTTCCCTTTTTATGAATGAATCCCTCGGCAACCCATCTAAGTATTAAGTCATCCTTCTCAATTAAGTAATCTTCTGGAAATATACTGAGATGTAATAGGCAAGTTTTCAGATGAGGAGGAAGATCATAGTAACTCAGTGATAATATACTTATCATTACATCCACGCTAGGATTTCTTTCGAGCGCAGAACCAATTGAATTTTTTACATGATCCCATTGATCCTTTGTCATTGGTTTGTTAACCAACAAACCAGATATAGCTATGATTGCCAGAGGTAAGCCATCACACTTTTTCAAGATTTGATCAGAAACTTCTTCAAGGTGTGAAGGGCATTTTTCTTCGGAATTGAATAATCTTCTGTGGAATAAATGTCTTGAATGTACCATATTAAGTGGCCTTATATTATACACATGACCACTAAATGAAGAACAGCATGATCTAGCGACATCATTTATACGAGTAGTGGTGATTATTTTACTGCACTGACTGCTCATTGAGAATGCACCCTTAATAATGTTCCATATTTCCACCTTCCATATGTCATCAATTACAATAAGGTACCTACATATATTTTAGGAGTGATATAATAATATATTTAATTTATCAATCAAAATTTTAAGATAAGATAAATTGGCAAGCCATGGAAGCTGTTCTTGAACCTAGTTTGATATTTTTCTCTTGTAATTAACAGAAAATCAAGAAATATATATAGACATTTTAAAATTTCTTATAGCCCGCAGTTAGATGGTAAATAATATAACTCAACCTATTTGGATCAAGCTGCCAAACTAACGAATTTGATGGACAGATTGAAGTATGTTTTTTTACATCCTATAATTAAATCTATCTATCTCTATGAGGATTTCTCTTTTTAGTCCTACAATAAATTAAAGAAAATACTAGTTGAAAAAAAATATAGTTATCAATTTCGACTTAAATTAACCCACTATTTAGGCTATTAGATTTGTCTTTTTTAAAAAAGCTGTCCAAGTTCCCTGCCCTCTCCTCTCATCTCTCCATTATATTGTTTAGCTAGCAACTTCAGATAGAAAGAAATAGCCAATAATTAGATATATAAAAATCACCATTATGTGTAAGCTACATAGTTAATTTTTAATCCATTTTAACTGCTGTTTTTTTAATAATTTAATCAATAATTCAATATCCATATTGGCTATGTTTTGCTATATAAGAAATGTGCCATTTCAGCACATACCAAATCCTTCGCTTGACATCCAAATAGTTACAAAAATTTCAACAAACATGAATAGCTAAACTCGATAAAAAATATCTAAATACAATAAACAAATTCAAACATGAATCATGTTGCTATGTAAAATAAGAGCAATTTTATCATCCAACATTTGATACCTCGAGATACCACATTTCACACACAAAATTTGGGTACCTCGAGGTACTAAATTTTACACTAGAAAGTATCTCGAGGTACCAAAAATTTGTTGTATCTCGAGATGTCAAATGTTGGATGATAAAATTGCTCGTAAAATAATATTTTAGTTACGGAGCACGCTCTTACCTTTTGTTGGAAAGAAAATTGGAAATTTTGATAATAAGTTGTTGTTCATATCCATCTTCTGTCAAAGCATAGTCACGTTGTGCCACCTCACTTAAAATAGTTCTTAGAATTCTCATCATGTTTGGATTTCGTGATACTGATAGGAAAGCCGAACAGTCAAATTTCCCCTTGAGCTCTTGGTATACTTGGTATGCAAGGGTAGTTTTACCTAGTCCTCCAAATCCAACAATCGAGATAACCTTTGGTTGTTGCTGCATAGATTCACACCCATCATTACTGGACAATAATTTTATTACCTCATTTTTTGGTTCATCAATACCTACAAGATTTGAAGCAAGCTCAAAGATAGAGAGAGCTCTATGGTCAACGATTCTATTGTTGGTCCTCAAGACAGTCTCCCTTGTTCTATACCTTGCATGCCTATCTCCAACCTTCGTGATTTGGCTCTTGAAATCTCTGATTGCCTTGGCAATTCGACTTCTAGTCTTCATCTTCGCGAGCGAGTTCTTACACTTGCTGATAAACCCATCAGGATTAGCAGAATCATCATCAACTCGGACCATGAACTCATCAATAATATCCTCAATGTCGTAGGATAGCTCCCTTACATCCATCATCCAAGCATGATCTTGGGCATCAGGATTCTCTTCCTCTGACATCTTCAGAAGAAATGAATGGATGGCCGTGAGTTCGCTAGAGAGGGTCTCGATCTCTTTGTGCACCTCCTTGGAGATCATGTACTCATTGCAAACCAGAGTGGCTAGCTTCATGAGGACGGGCTTCAATGCCCCGGTGGCTATGCTCACTATAGCCCCTTCCATCCTCTTTGACACCCTAATCTTTCAGTTTTGTGGGGAAGAACAAACTAGAATCTGTTTTCTTTTTCCATTAAGAATACAAAGAAGAATCAGTTAGAACTATATAGTTCTAGTTGACACAGAATACATGGTACGAATGATATACAGGGACATAGATCGAACCTGAATAAAGGCGACATAAACTTTGCTCTTAAACCTTTACCACGCAAAAGACGCCTGAAAGACAAAACACACAAACTGGATCAGTATAAAGAGGAGATGACAGATCTGGATCAGAACAGAGCGGAAGAGAATATATCGAATGATGCTAATATATCGGTATTCAGCAGTATAGTACTGCTATGCTATTAGCGTTAATTAGCTGCCGATGTGACCGAAGCATGTGAGCTTAATTGTAGGGCTAGGCATTAACATGCATGATGTATCTTCTTTACTTGCACACTTGATAGGTACTGGGCATCTTTCATTCTTTCTTATGTCCCATCAATGTGATTTGCTGCGAAAGAACAAACCATGTCAACACAACACTGTCAATGGTAGGATATGCCAAATTAAACGTGTAGAGAAAAGGACGTTACCAACTAAATTAATAATATTTGTACTACGCGGCCAGAAAAAAAATTTGATTACTACTGATGATAAAGAGAGCTACCAAAAATTATTGCTATTGGGCTATTTCATTTCTAAATAAGTTCCTCTGTTTTGTTATCTCATGCTCACTTCAAAGCTAACCAGGTTTGGTGGATGCACGCTCACCTACTCTCTCTCTCTCTCTCTCGATCTGTTGTATTTTTTACCATCCAACATGGCGAGGAGATACCAAATCTCAATCATTGATACGACCAGATCCAACGGCTGACAGAGGTCAGTACCACGAGGTATCATTTGTGTCCTTAGGTGTTATTTCCCCCGTTTTACAATGTAAGATATTTTAGCATTGCTCATATTTATATAGATGTTAATGAATTTAGATAAGCGTCTAATTCATTAACATCTACTATATGAATGTGTGCAATGCTAGAAAGTCTTATATTGTGAAACAGAGAAAGTAACCAGGAGGGCATCGGATAGAGGGTATTAGCTAGTATATCAGATAACTAGAATGTATATATACTATGTATACTAGAAGTATAGGAATAAATTTTCTTTCTCTTTTCTTTCCACTTAGCTTAGATAATATATTATGAGAATGAGTAGCTGCTGCTTGTGTGTCACTCTACCCTCGGATTATCTTAACCCCTACTTAGGATATGAATATCGCAAGTAATATATAAATTATTAGTCGAGTTCTCTCTACATGATCTACCCACGGGATAAAATAAATACAATACCCTTGGAATACTCTCGGGTGAAATGCTACAATAGTATATCTGTGCGCTTACGGATGAACTCTGTAACCATAATATACCAGAAGTGTTTCTGCGCCATTACTGGGAATTATATTTCTAGTAATGTCGTTAAGAAATACCAACAGCTGCTGCCCGTCCCATCCGGCTGTGACCGATTGCAGCCTAGTCAAGGCCGATTGACGCACGTCAATCGACTGGCGTGGCATGCCTGCCCACGCCGCATTAAACGCAGCGGGGGGTGGTTGGGGCGCTGCTCATCAATTGACTTGGCGGTGCCCCCTCCTCCGTTTGCTCGGCTACGACGTGGCAGCTGAGCAGGGGCCTCGGGGCTACGTAGCCCCCTAAGCCCTAGGGGTGCGACGGGATACCCCGAGGCCCCTTGGCTACTTGTGATTTGCGCGCCCAGCCTCCCCCGAGGGAGGAGGGAAAACTAGGCCGCGCGGCCACGCGGCTGGATAAAAGGATTCTTTCCCTTCAGCGTGCGTATACCCTGGGCCCATATCATCAACAGCGCATGAATTGCATGGAAGCAACGAACTAAGTTATGTGGAAGTCTTACAGATTTGTCCACTAACTTATTATTGACATCTTCTCTTGAATGGGTGTGTCCGAGAAATCGGAATAATGAGACTTAGGGAAATGCGAAATTCAGGGGGAGAATTTCGCTGACTCATTCCAGAATCTTGATACAGAAAATCAAGTACCCAAAAACAATCTAGAAAGATTGAACGAAGAATTGGGTGAATTGCACTCTTATTTCCCTTGGATAAGTTTTCCTAGCAGTTTCTTATCATGGTTTTTAACGAGGCAATTCGTGCGACATCGCAAACGTATGCTATGTACTCTTTTTCTCCAAATTTTTCCAGTGGGTTTTTGTGAAGTTTTGATAAAGCATAGGCATCACGCGGTGAGTGTCCAAGGGGGAGTGTTAAGAAACCATTGGGCTTGGGCCCATGAAGGCCCAACCCAATACATTTATTAGGCCCCTCACCTAACCTTCCATATATGCATCATGCCTTTAAATAGAGGGGAAGAGACTCACTATTGTATCACTAAGAGAATGAATGAGAATGAGAAGGTCCTACCCCTACATCTTTGTGTCTCCACTTTTCTATATAATTACGGGACCCTTTTAGACTGCTTCGTGTAGCAGTACGGTTGCGTAATAGAAATGTTTCTTGATGTTTCGGTTCAGTCTGCAATTGGCTGTCGTAAACTGATTTTTTTTGGCAATGTTAATGAGATCAATTTGTATAGATTTAATTATAGCCAGTTGACGTCTCTGGTTTGAACTTGTGCATTAATTCTTAAGTTCACTTGCAATTTTTGAGAAATTTGCTTTTACTAACATGTATATACAGGCACTACAAGAATACCTATTTTTCCGTGTGGTTGTTTTAATTTTTGCGTACGGTTGTTTTGCCCGTCTGGAACATTGCGTCTGGGAAAATCGCGATTTTCTTGTGCGGGTGGCGCAACCGCACGCGAAAATCCGATTTTCGCGTGCGGCTGCTTATGCCGCCCGCACGGGGAAAATAAAAATCCGAAATTTTTTTTTTCAAAAAACACAAACCCTAACCCTAAATCCGGATCCGGCACCCCACCGCCACTGCCGCCGGATCTAGGCGTGGGGAGGGTGGCGCCGCTGCCGGCCGCCGCCTCGCCATCGTCGTTGTCGTCGGCCGCCTCCTCCTCCCGTTCCCGGCACACGTCGTCTGCCCGCTCCCGGCCGCCGCCTTGCAGTTGTCGTCATCGTCGCGCGCACGCCACTGCCGGCCGCCGCCTCGTCGTCGGCCGCGCGCACGCTGCTCTTGGCCGCCACCTCGCCGCTGTCGTCGTTGTCGTCGGCCGCGCGCACGCTGCTCCCGGCCACCTCCCCACGTCCGCCCGCCGCCGCCGTGAGCCCCCCGTGCTGGCCCACTGCCGCCGCAAGCCCGCTGCGCCCGCCCACCACCGCCGCGAGCCCGCCACGCCCACCCGCCACTGCCGCGAGCCCGCCGTGCCCGCCAGTTGCCATCGACCCCTCCGCTGAGAGCCGCCCGAAGGAGAGGAGGCATCGGCGCCATGCACAGGAGGAGGAGAAGATGAGAGAGAGAGAGAGAGGAAAATGAGAGGAGAGGAAAGTGAGAAGATAAGGGGGAGAGAGAGAGGAGAGAAGGGGGCGGGGGAGAGAGAAGAAAAGTCCAATTTTTTTTTGAATAGGATAGGAGGGAAGTGCTATTTTCCTGTACGGTTAGATTAGGAGGCCCGCACGCGAAAATAGAGTTATTTTTGCGTGCGGCCTGTTAAGTGACCCGCACACGAAAATTAATTTTCGTGTGCGGGTAACGACCCGGCTTCGCTCCCCCTATTTTTCCGTGCGGTCCAACTTACGGATTGCATGGAAACAAAATGGGGTAGCGTTCAGGAAAATCAATCATGCAGTAGTGAGGATGAAATATAAATGTGGCTGGATTACGAAGTTGCACGAATTCCAGTTTGCTTCATTCAGAGAGACCGCATAAATGTGAGTATGGATATGGGAATGGTTAATGAATACCCAGTGACAACCCGGTAAGATGAAGGGGAGCGGATTAGTGCAGGTGCGAGGAGGATGACAGCCCTAGGTAGGATGAAAGGGAGCGGATTAGGGCAGGTGAAAAGGAGGATGACACAGTGGTGTTGGACAAGGCATATAGATCTCCGGAGCTTGCTTTCGCTGGCTGGCTGCATCAAGGGGAAACTTCATTGGAGGGCATTGTTTAGCTGTCATGGATGCGTACGTGGTGAGTAGTCACCATATACTACCGGGTAATATTGATTTTGTTCCTGATGTCCTTACAGCACTACGCCACCTGGTAGCTAACGAGCCGGCAAGTAGGAGCATGTTGCTTAGACGATGTGCATCATCTTTCTTCCATGTTGTTATCATACGTCGGACCTTCGGTGCATTGTAGGCACCATTGGTCCTTTTTAATCTTCTTATTTGTTCTCCTCTTTTCCACTTTAATCATATAATAAAGTAACTTATCATTTCTATCAATAAAGTAACTGGATCTACCTTGTGTCAAAAAAATGTATCTCTTATTCTCTTTGTTAGTACATTTTTTGCCCTATCTCTGCTGCGTTCTATCAGTTTGTTAATTTGCATCTTAGGAAAAGCAACACTGGCAATCTAGATCACCCAACACTTTTTAGCAGTACTATTTGCTAGATTTTTGAATCTCTTATTAGATAATTTTTTATGGTTTTGAATTAATGTTCTGACAATATTATATTTTTCTTACTTTTCCTTAAACTAGGAAGGAAGCCCGCGTAGATGCGCGGGGATCTTATTCATTATGTTTATAAAAATAACGTTAAGAGAATTAAGTCATATCTCATCATATGCGTATAAGAAATTGTATATTTTACCTCATAATAACAAAAATCTATGTTGTGAAATATATTGTAGATTTTAATATAAACGATAGGAATGTTTCTTATATTAAAAAATCACTTTTGTCCTGATTATGTAAACTCGTCTATTGTCACCATTACTTCTTACCATTGTCGCTAGATGCCTTTTTAATAAATGAAACTGCATCTGTAGCACCAAAATAAACCTAATACATCATTAATACATAAAACATTTATCTCTACTATATACCTAAATGTTTATGTCAACATTTAGTTCTAAATCTATAAATAAATATACTTAAAATGCGACATCTATTGGTAAATGTGATAACAGTGTTGAAATTAGACATGAATATCCCTCTAACAGGTAGAGATACCAAGTCTTTATTTCTCTGTTGCCTCTAAACATGGGTTCCGTATCGATATACTCGTGCCTCTCAAGGCCAGCATGCAGTGTAATTTTAAGGCCTAATTCACTATCAGCACCCTCAAAAACGATTGCATCAATAAGTAAAAAGTTGAACACTATTATCAATGGTGGTCTCCACTGGGCTACCTCAACTATACTTGTAAAAGATGTTCAATACCTTTTATAGAAAGCGATGTAATGAAAATAATTCTTCCCATTAAAAATAGTTGTTTTTATGTTTTGTGTAGACATAATTTTTTTTCTAGTATTAAGCAGTACTACCCAAATTTTTATATAAATACAATATTCCGTTTTGAAATGAGTGAGGTTGATCATTAAAAAATGTATCGCTAAACAGATATATGACCATAACCATCCTCAGAGTATCATATCATTATATCATTGTTTATATTTTGACAAAGATCAATATTTTAGCGTATGGTTTGTTTTCGTGACCTGTTGTTCATAATTGCATGAGACACATATACTAATTTTAAATTTTATTTATTTTCAAAAATTATTAAAAAATAACTAATTTGTTGGAGTGCACTTATATCATACATTCATCAACTATCAACTATCACTTATACCCGACATATTAGAATTCCTCGACTATAAACAAAATATATCATGAGTAGTTTAATGCACATTTGTTAACAAACCAGTATGGTGGGAAAAACATATGGATTAAGGGGCCGTATTATAAAAAGATTATTGCCTAGGAATACCAATGAAATAGTTTTGAAAATATAAAAAAACATTTGAAAATCTTAGTCTCCATAAATTAAAATTAAATCATATATAACTAACAAAACATAACGTTGTTTCGTATTCACGCATGTCGATTTCAGTTAGTGTTATATATTTGTCAAGTGATATTTGACACCACAAAATATGATGTGAAATTATTTCAAATATTATGATGAAATTAATTATTATATGTCACCTAAATCATTTGAAAATTATTATAATATTAATTATTAATGTCAACTCCATGTGTTGTAATGTATTTAGCATCATAATATAACTATGATAAGTCATCAACATTTGAATACAATGGATTATAATTTAAAAATGGGTGTTTAAATACCTTTAATTTGATACTTATATTGATCTAGTTTAACTTGCATATTTCTGGAGTAATAAATTTAGTTTTATAGTATAAAAAAATCCTATTTTAAGGAATAACTATATTTTTTCGATGTTGTACCAACGTACATATTTATTTTTTTGGGAGGCTTTATAGCTTTTTTTAATGGTATGTACGTATGTTTCTTTGGTTTTTTTAATCGACTATCCGGAAAATAGTTTCTCTCATACACAGGAGATTAAGAGAAAGCGGGCTAATGCAATGGTAGAAAATAACTGGTCTATTAATTTAAATGAAAATCGACGGTGAAATTACGTAGTGTTACGTGGGAGTCTAAGAACGCTTATAGAAGCACCAAATGACCATATTTGTAGAATAAGAAACTTTATTTTTATAGTATAGAAGATCATATATTTTAAAAAGGCCTTGATGGTTATAACGTTGTACATCTTTAATCGTGCTTATATGGTACGTATCCTTCGTCTTTTCCCAGGTGAACAGTTTTTTTTGTCTTTATATTTTTTATCGTACCTACCACGTACGCTGTTTGTTTTCTTTTCAAATAAACAGTACCAAGGTATATATTTTTTTTCATCCAAAGTAACGTACGTACTATTTGGGTATTTCCATGTACATACGTAAATATTTCTGGTGGACGGATTATCTCAGATATAGAAAGCATAAACTTTTTAAATAGATTTAATCTGACGATTGTAAGATAATGGGTCCACCAATTTAAATGAAAATCGATGGTGGGATTGTAGAATGCCACATGGCGATCTAGGAGCGTTTGTAATGCGCCACGTGGCGGCTTAGGAGCGTTTACAGGATGTTTAATGGACTTTTAGTATATAATAGATAGATATATTTGATATGTGACATGGATCGAATTCAAGCTTAATTGAACTAGATCTTGGAAAATTAATTTGACTAACATGGATTTAATAATTTATTAAGCAAAATATTATAACATTGTAGCGTTAGCACGGACATATTTGACTAATTAACATAAATTTGTGCTGAAAGTATATGGTAATGGTTGTGAAAAGGAAATGGAGTAGTACTATTTGTAGGTTTACAAATATATATATTTATAAACAATTCATATGTAGCTTTTGTAAGTTGGAGCTCTCATGGTAAGGTTCATCTCTCCAATCCTAGACATCATTTTTGCTACACTACAGTGCATTATTCCTAATGGTATATATTTCAATTTTTTAGAGTTCTCACTGTTACCTGTTGGTTATCTTTACATTACCAAATAATGTCATAGCGTTAGCACGCGCATATTACTAGTAACTTAAGATTCTTAAAAATAGTTGGTGAGAAGACTCATAAGAGAATATGAAAAAACTATGGGGGTGTTTAGATCTATAGGTGTAAAGTTTTAACGTGTTACATCGGGTATTATATAGTGTGTCACAGGGGGTGTTCGGGCACTAATAAAAAAATATTACAGAATCCGTCAGTAAACTGCGAGACGAATTTATTTATATAGTGTGTCACATGGGGTGTTCGGGCCCTAATAAAAAAACTATTAGAGAATCCGTCAGTAAACTGCGAGACGAATTTATTAAGCCTAATTAATCCGTCATTAGCAAATATTTACTGTAGCACCACATTGTCAAATCATGGAGCAATTAGGCTTAAAAGATTCGTCTCGTAAATTAGTCACAATATGTGCAATTAGTTATTATTTTAGCCTATATTTAATACTTTATGCAGATATGCAAACGTTCGATGTCATAGGGTGTAAAATTTTTACGTGGAAACTAAACGGGGCCTATATTTATCAGCTTTTTGCTTCCAATCGACGGACTACTATGTAACTGGAGCTAATGGTTTACTGGTTTACTTTATATGAAAACGGTACCATGGGCGAGCAAGTAGTCGCGTACAGCAACATCAATGCTGTAAAGCGTGTACTGCCAGATGAACAATTTTTAATCTGACTGGTAGCCGTGTAGTCGTACTTGCAAGTACGTATATAGCAGGAGCAAAAGCTACCCATCCCATAGTAACTGACCTCTGAATATAATAGTGCTACGCCGCAGCCGACGGCGGTCTTTTCCGGCCGCTCCCGGCGCCCGCCGGCCATGTCAACAACAAGCTCGTCAAAAACCGCCACGTGCCCTCTCTGCCACGCCGACGTGCTGCTGCCACGGCGGCGGTCAGCCGGCTCCTCGACGCACAGAAGCCACGACCTCGACGACGGCCCCGCTCCGCCGTCGCCGGAGTCCAGCTGCCGCAGCAACGCCGCGGTGTGCGGGTGCGCCCGCTGCCGGCGCCCTGATCTGATCAGTCCCGGAACCGGCATGCGGATGAGGAACAGATTCGGCGATGGCCCCAACAGGATATCAGCCCAGAGTGGAGCATGGCTGTGCCGAGAGCGCACGGCGGAGACTTGCCGGAGCACAAGTAGCCGGTCCGGCCGCTACCGGCGCCTGCAGCCTGCAGCGGTCGCCGGAACACGACGCGCCGAACTCATAAAGCGGCTGCAAGAGCTCTGCCACCCAGCAAATAACCTTCCAAATTGTTCTGCTTCTTGGCAACCACAGCGACAGCGGCAGAAAACAATTGATCGAATTCCAGGTAATTGCGCGCTTTAAATTTTTCTTGTTTTTGTTTTCAGTTTTGATATTTATCAGATGCTCGAGGATTATTAGGATAAGATTGATTTGTTTAGAGTCTTTCCTTATATGTATATCCCCTTCCTCATCTTTTCTACTCTCTATATATATATCCCTCATGAGACTGAATTCAATGCTTAATATTTATAGTATTCCTCTCTTCTTATACTGTTAAACATGGTATCAGAGTGGGACGATCTAGCGCCGCTCGAAAGCTTCCGCCCCGCTGCCCGGGGGAGCAGCGATCTCCCAGGGGCAGCCACCGTTTTTCTGATTTTGTTAAACTGTTCGGTTTCCACTTTAGGTATAGAATAGTATTTGTGGGACGACTGTACATGGCTGAAAAAAATAGACAAATTTTGTTGTGCAAATTTTATATGAACTGCAAAATAGGAAACTACAGAGGGATAAAATTCTATAGGTACTGCAAAATAGGAAGGGAACTAGAACCACAGTTCCAAAATTTTTAGAGCTAGTGACAACTCTTAGGCTATGGCTCTGAAAATTGCACGCAGCATGAAAGTTTCAGATTGATTGCTAGTATAAATGCTGTTATCTTGTATGTTTACGCCATTGGATCCATCATATATAGATAATCATAGTAACCTTGTAAGACAAGTATTCACATAGATATTGAATTTGTGGCTATTGCTAATCATCATTTGCATTGTGAGGTGGTTGAAAAGAGTGCTGATAATGTTAGAAGTTAGCATCTTATATGGTCTAAATGTCCTGTTTGATGCAAAAGTAACAGAAAATTGGTTGAGTTACTAGAGTATATTTGAATGCTGCATGCTACCTCCTCTATTTAATTTCTCACACAATAAGATTAGATGTTTTGGTGTTTTGAATAGATTCAGCATGGATGCATTCATGCGGTTATCCAAATTCATATGAATTAATACTAGTGAATCTAGACTACGAGATGGAGAGGCTAAAACATCTTATAATGTGTGAAATAGAGGAAATAGATGTTTAGAACTGTGTGCATTTAGATGAAATCATTTTCAGTGCAAAACAGAAGATGCAGTAACTTAATAAACAACCCATCATATAAAGATATATTTTCTTTTAGTTTCCTTAAGATATTAAAGCAATAAATTAATTATCTTCTCAATCAAGCTTAAGTGCAAAATATACTCCCTACAGCCAAAAATCTTTGACGTACATCAAATAAATCTAAAGTACTACTAAATCTTGCTTAGCACAAAAAACCATGGTCTAAACAACAGTGATGGACCAACATTTTTTTTTTGTGCAGATAGCCTAGATTGTGGGGTGACAATGGAAAGGGGCAAGAACAAGCGTGATGGAAGTGACAATGGGCTCATCTTCTCTAACCTAATGCACGGTGTTGCTGCCGGCATCTATGGGTATCCTCCTCACCAGGGATACACTCAGGCTCAGAGCTACCTACTGCTGCCGGAAGCATATCCACCTCCTCCGTGGACATACCCTCTTTCTAGTGCTTACCCTCCTCAACCTGTTGGTTACCCTTCAGGTGGCTACCCTCCTGCAGTCTACTCTGACTCGTATCTGCACCAAGGTATTAAACTAGATTCTTTTATATACTATTAAGATATTGTACTTTGTATAAACATTGCTGAAATTCGCTGATAAAACTAATTAACCTCTATTCACTGGAGAAGGTGCTATCATTTTGCAAACAAAACTAAAGAGTACAAAATCAAAACCAAAGTTCATGCTATTATAGTTGAAAACAAAACCAAACCGTACAAAAGTACATACTATTAGTAATGTTAGTAGCTAACCAAACAAACAAATTCTTAATTTCTAATTAAGAAAATTAATATTCCTGGATTTCAAGACAAAAAAATGAAACAAAATCCTCTAGTGTGTCACAAAGGTTAAACTAAAGAATGTATTACAAACATAACTGTGACACGGCTAGGTAGCTGCCCGTGGTTTTGGGAAATCGCTTCATATATGGTGCGCTAGTTTTCAGAACTGATCTGTATTTGTGCACTGTTTAGCTAACAAAACTTTGTATTCTTAGTACCAAATAAACTAGGTATTACTCCCTCCGTTAAAAATAATTATCATTTCAAACGAGTAAACGGTCTCCAAAAAGAACTTTGATCACTATTTTTTTATTACAGTATCATATCTATAGAAATGCCAACAACTATATATGATTTTCTTGAAGCACTTCAATTCGTGACTATGAGTTGGATGTTATTATTTTGATTTCATCTCTCTAGAACTTGTAAAAATATCTATGCGGGTTGGAGCATGATTTAAACTTCATTAATTAGTAGTGCAGCCACACCATATATATATATATATATATAATGTGCTTGATTATGTCGACGAGTTATATATGAAAGGTATATATACTAGTTAAAGGGTTAATTATTGGTTTTGTGGATTATCAGTTGGCGTTAGTAGTGACAATTAAGCTTCAGTTCAGTCGACATCAATAATTAATCTCACTCAGGCTCTTTCCTCACTCCTAGACATATGGTCGATTGTTTTTTTTTCTGTACACCCTTAAATTTGAAATGAACTATGAAAAGAATTGATTGATGTTGTTTAGCTAATAAATCAATAACTGTATGGGCAGTACGCTTAAGGTTGAGTTTGAATCTACCTCTTCCCATCTTCGACTCCCTAGCTTACTCTTCACGAACTGTTAAGTGTTGTTTTTTTAAAAAAATCTATATGAAAGTAGCTATAAAAATCATATTAATTTATTTTCAAGTTTTTTAAGTTAATACTTAATTAATCTTGCACATATTATACTTAATGCAATGATCAACTCTCTATACATATTAATACTAATGCAATGATCAACTCTCTATACATATTATAGGGAAAAAAATTCAAGCGGTAGCACCTGTCTTAAACCAACATGATAAAAACTGCAGATTGTCTAGCACCATGTAGCACCATATATGTAAATCGATGAAGCATGGAAAGAACTGATCAACTCTCGCGGCAGAATCTAACCGCTGAAAATTCGATAATGTCCAGGTAGCAGAGTTGCGCGGGAGCAATGCCCTCTATCATATTCCAATAATGCTGTCACTTGCAGGGAGGATGGGCAAATGAACTGTGAAAATGGAACAGTAAATATGGAGAAAAGTGCAATGTCCTCAAATAAGATGGCTACTAGTCTACTAAAGAGTTGCGGCAATGTGATGCCATGCAGAAATATGGAGAGAAGTGGCCCAGCCATGTATAAGGTGGACATGCGCGGCAGTACGAAGCAATTCTCTATGGGCAGCAAGATGATGATGTGTCTGATTGTGTTTGGATGTCTGATAGCTGCCTTGGATATGTTTAGAAATGTTGCACAAAAACAGATGTTTTCTGTCGTTAGTTTACTTTCTTTTGTAGTCGCGACCTATGTCTGCTAGGAGTCTCTACATGTACCGTAAAATTGCTCTTTGTGTAATGTGTACTTCTTCATCCTGTAAAAATAGAATCCCAATCAAACTATATATGGTTTGTCTGTCGGGCTTTCAATACAATCTGAGTGTCCTCTCTTTACCTTTGTACAGCCGAAATTATTTTTTTAATACATGTTTGTTTGGTTAATTTCGTTAGCAATTTTTTAATATATGTTATGTTTTTCTCAGGTGGAAAATACATTATTATTTTGTAGTTCTAGTATTTATTTGTTTATTAAAATAATTGGACTAATGAGGTATTATTTATTTACATATTTTTTATTACTTTCATTGGCTTTTTTGGTTTCATAGCTTTGTCGCAATTTATTTGCCCTCGTAAGACAATCACATATTCACGTCGCCGTAGCACAAATCAACTTAATCGATGAAAAAGAATAGAAGGTGGATAAAGAATAGAAGGAGAATAAAGATATTGCAGCGGTAGCACAAATCAACTTAATCGATGAAAAAGAGAGTTAACCATTAGCTAACACACAGATAAACATAACACATTCGTGACACATACACCAACATAACAAAAGAAATGGCCGAAAACGAATCGGGCCTAAGCTTCTCTACTACCCCCTTCTACGTCGTTTAGCACGTACTGCAACTTTGTGCTCCTTCATTCTCTTGTACTTTGTTTGCATTCAGCTTTAGTTACTCTTCTGCCATCATACGTCGGGCTGACGGTGTTGATCCATAAAGTAAAACCACACATCATTGGATTCTCCTGAAGAATAAATAAAATTAGAGAATGGGATATGTTATGGTAACGCGAACCAAAATGGAAAAAAATTAAGCATGTAACAACACGCCCTTTGGAACCGCGCAACCTAGTCCATCCTATGGGTGGGCCCACTTACACATAGCACACATATACTTTCATCCTTGCTTTGTGTAAAATGGTTAACCTAGGAGTGATACGACTAGAGGGACAAACCATTATAAGTTGGTTCCAGCTTTTCACTACATTAGCAAGGTGGTATCAAACAGGAGCACACGGCTCTCATGAGCCACACAGTCCATATCCTAATAGGGCCAGGATGTCACATAGTGCTCCTCATCAAGGGCGTAGGAGGTTGGGCTGAGATACTCGTCATCAATTGGGCGTGTCGCCGAGAAGTGCCATTGCCTTCCATGCATAGTTCTTGGAGGTGGTGGTGGCAAGGGCATAGCTTGTCATCGAAGTGAGCGCTGCCAGTCCGTCCAGGTGCTCTGCGGTGAAGGTTGCACTAGAGATGGGGGGTGACGGCAGGTGGTGCCTAGGGACCACTGCTTAGGGCATTAGCAGTGCAACATCGAATTTTGCCAGACCTCATATGTCACGTAGGTCCAAGAACACCAAAGAATAATGTTAGCCACAAGTTTCACCGTGCTATGTAGCCTTAACTGGGGTCCATGAAAAAACAATATTTTTCTCGCCTTTTTCCGTCTCTCTCCCCAAAACCGATGCTTCCCCTTTCCCCAACCCACATGCTCTCGTGAAAGGCAGAAGCGGTGACGGCGAGCCAGGCGGAGGGTTGTTTGCAGCGGTGGTCCCCATGAAGCGACAGCGCCGGGCGGCCAAAACAAGCCCGAAGCTCGCCAGATCTCCCCTCTCTCCTCCCCTCTCTGGCGCTAAATCCCTTCACCCCTCTCCTCGTCGGTGCCAAATCCTTTCTCTCTCCTCGTCGGCGCCCATGGCTATGGGCAACAAGGACGAGCGGCAGCGCGGCCTCTACCCTCTCCTCGGTGGCGCATCGATCTGGATGGGTCGTGGAGGCTCCCATTGAGGCTGTGGAGGGGTCAAGGAGAGGTCGTTGCGGCTTGGAGTGGGCGATGATGACGAGCAGCAGCATAGATCAGAAAACGAGGATGGGTCCGGTGGGTTGGAGCGACACACGACAATGAGTGACAACATGGCTCGGGGGGCGTCAAGTAGGTAGGCACCAGATTTGTCGCCTCCTCTTCCTCCTCCGCCGCCATCTCTTCTTCTTCCTTCATCGCCAGCTCGGGGGATGGGGAGGGGAAGCGCGGAGCCACGAACCCGTAAGGCCACAACCTCACAATGCGTCTGCACCGTTCTCCCCCATGCCACGCGACCTTGATTTTGTGAGAAGAACGAGTGCACAAAATTGGTTCCGCGGACTTCACAGGGTTACGACCAACGCTTGTGTAGAGGGGAATCGCCGAGCTGGTGCATCGAGACCAAACGCCACATACATGCACTGTGAATGGCCTTAGTGCATTCATAGGCACAATAACCTGAGCGATGGCAGGAGAAACATCAGATTGGGTCTCTGAGGCCATTCACGGTGCACGCACGTGACATGTGTCAATGTTTGTCCAGGTAGAAAAAGTGCTTGCGTGGAGGAGAGAGGGAAGTGGTGACCATTCCTTCGCCGGGTTCACGTGATCAACATTGGCTCCAAGAACCTCGTCAAAAAAAAAATCAACTTTTGCTAAAAAAATCGCATCCGCCCGTGGGGAGAAAGCGGGAGAGAGACAGAGAGGAGGTGGGGGTAGGGATAGGGAGCCGCATCCGCGCCAGAGAGAACCTGAGGCTAGATCCGGCGAGCCCACCCCTCCGCTGCTCCGGCCTGCACCGTCACCGCTTCGGTCGCCTCTCTACTCGGTTGCCGTCGCCTCTTTGCCCGGCTTCGTCGCCATAGAGGCCGGCGCTCCGTCCGGCTCCGTCGCCGCAGAGGCCGGCGCTCCGCCCGGCCGCATCGGCGCTGTCTCCGCCTAGCTCCGTTGCCTCAGAGGCTGCCACTCTGCCCGGCCACCTCGGCGCCGTTTCCGCAGGCTGCTGCTCCGCCTGGCCGACCCAACACGGTGTAAGGAGAGAAGACTGAGTCAGGTTGCCACCCGAGCATGAGAGGAGAGAGAGGGGAAGGCGTGAGAGATGGGGGAGAAGAAGGATAGCGGTGGTCCCGAGGAAAGGGAGAAGGAGATGGGGAAAAGTGGAGAAAAAAAAGGAGAACTTTATTTTTGTGGACCCCACTTTGGAGTTGCTACATTGTGAATCTTGTGACTACCACAGTTCCTTAGCCCATGTGGCATCTGAGATTCGGTATATACATGGGACGCATTGCTATTGCCCTGATAGTCACCACTTGATGGTCATGCGCAAGGTAGATAAAGCACCTTCCTTGCGTCTTCTCCTTGAAGGCTCGATGGGATGCGGAGACGAGCTGGTTGGCAGAGCGGATTGAAGGAGCGTCGTGTCTAGATTACGGCCTTGTTTAGTTTGCGAAAAGAAAATTTTTGGGGGTCACATCGGGCGTTTGACCGGATATTAGAAGGGTATTTGGATACGAATGAAAAAAGTAATTTCATAACTTGCCTAGAAACCGCGAAATGAATCTTTTTAGCGTGATTAATCCGTCATTAGTACATGTGGGTTACTGTAGCACTTATGGTTAATCATAGACTAATTAGGCTCAAAAGATTCGTCTCGCGATTTCCATGCAAACTGTGCAATTAATTGCACCTGATTAACCATAGGTGCTATAGTAACCCACATGTGCTAATGACAGATTAATTAGACTAAAAAGATTCATCTCGCGTTTTCCAGGCAAGTTATGAACTTAGTTTTTTTATTCGTGTCAAAAACCCTTCCAACATCCGGTCAAACGTCTGATGTAACACCTAAAATTTTTTTTCGCGAACTAAACAAGGCCACAGTTTCCAAAACAAAAACTTTTCACCCATCACATCGAATGTTTGGACATATGTATGGAGTATAAATGTGGACAAAATAAAAAATCAATTACACATTTTGCGTGTAAATTACGAGACAAATCTTTTAAGTCTAATTGCGCCATGATTTGATAATGTGGTGCTACAGTAAATATTTGCTAATGAAGAATTAATTGTGCTTAATAAATTCCTCTCGCAATTTCCTAGCGGAATCTATAGTTTTTTTTATTATTATTAGACTACGTTTAATACTTTAAATGTGTGTCCGTATATCCGATGTGGTACGTATAGGCAAAAGTTTTTGCCAAGTAAACGAGGCCTAAACAACGCCTTAATTAAGGGCTGCTAGAGCCCCGATCTGGCGTTTCCGAGACCTAGGAGACCTCCCCAGGGGAGGGCGGCCACATTGACCGGCGTGGTGGTGGTGGAGTCCCTGCAGAAGCAGTGGAGGGTGACAGATCTGGGCAAGAAGGGGTTTGAGATGGGCGGCGGCGATTCCGTGGACGAAGGGGCACGTAATGGAGGGTGCTGAGGGCGGCGTAGCAGCGTTGGTGGCGCCGGCTGGAGTGCTGGCATTGGTAGGGTGGCCAGCTTACCTAGCGGCAATGAATGCCTGCAACTAATAATGGGTGAATAGGCGTCCTCATCACCAGTGACGACGAGGCCGGTGTTCTACAACGGCCGCTTCATGGAACGGAAGCTCGAGAGTACAGCCAAGGCATTCCCTATATGTTGAAGGAGAGATTTTACGGTGTTTGGTAAAAATCTAATGGTCCATAATAAAAGATACCACTTAAAAGATATTTAAGTACTGATATAGGTACTTAGGTAGTAAGTGTAAAAGGATATTTTTTTTAAGATGGAGAAGGGCATAATTGTCTTCTTAGTTCTAGGTACACAGGTTCCGCATCGGTACCTCATCTCTACTATACCCGTGATTCTCATTTCCGTTATTTACGTGTTCTAAAAAGATTTACATTTCCTTCCTAGGAACATGATCGTCGGTAATCCTGCATTACAAAATTCACGTGTTTTTCAAGTGCTTTTCAAGTGCAAGCTTGTTAAGAAAGTTTGGTAGGCGATGAACTTGGAAGACCTGAGATTATCTCTAGCGCAACAACCTAATGCAAGAAGTGTGCTGGAGACCATTTGGGGGTGCCCAGAGAATATACAGATGAGAGCTGTCGTTTGTTTGTGGCAATGGTGGAAGCAGATGAATGAAGTGAGGGAAGGAGGTAAAGCCAGAGACCCAATTGACTTGGCGTATATCATTGATAACCAGGGAGAGGAATTCTTGAAGTTGAATTGGAAAGAGGGGAAGTTGAAGGAGAGGAGAATGGCAAAATGGAGAAAACCCACCTCTGATGTCCTGAACATCAACTCGGATGGGGCCTTCCACAGCAGCACCAAACAAGGCGGATGGGGATATGTTATTCGGGATCATCATGGACGGGTGGTTCAGGCTGGAGCTGGCGGAGCTGATAACATGATGGATGCATTCCATTCTGAGATTATTGCTTGTGCAGCGGCTGTAGGGGCGGCAAGTGAAAGGGGGATAATGAAGGTAGAGTTTGAAATAGGCTCGCTGCTGCTGAAGTCTACACTCCAGGAGAACTCTTTCAATCTCTCTGTCATGGGGGGTGTGATTCTGGAGATCAAGAATGTCATTTCTAGAAGATTTATTTCATTCTTGGTTAATTATTGCCCCAGGGAATGTAACAAGTAGTGCATGAACTGGCGAAACTGGGTTGTAATTTGCTTGACCCTTGTAGCTGGGCCGGCACTCCGCCGGGCCTTGAGTATTTGGTGACCAGCGATTTGGCTGGCCTGCCTCAGTAATAAAGTTTTCGGTTTCCCTTAAAAAAAATTTACGTGTTTTTTTTCTTAGATTTACATTTTCTTTTTAAGAGTATGATCGTGATGTTTTTTTAAGTTGATATTTTGCGAAACCTCTAATGGGCAATCGATCGCCTTGGCTATGGGGTAGCGATCGATCCCCTCTTCCCTCCCTCCCTCCACCTGGTTTCCTTTTTTGGCACCGTATTACTCTATTATTTTAGTAAATTTATGCATCTAAAGTTTATACACCTCAAGTTTACACATCTAAAGTTTAGAGAACCAAAGTTTATAAGTCAAAAGTTTATATATTCGATTCAAATTCAAATTTGAATTTCAATTCAATTTTTTTTATATATAGTATTTCTATACATCTAAAGTTTATACACCTAAAGTTTAATGACCCAAAGTTTATAAGTCAAAAGTTTACATACCTGTTTTAAATTTGAATTTGAATTATATCTGATTCAAATTTGAATTTGAATTCAAATATTTTCTATATATAGTATTTTTATGCATCTAAAGTTTATACACCTAAAGTTTATAGACCTAAAGTTTATAAGTCAAAAGTTTACATACCCGTTTTAAATTTGAATTTGAATTATATCCGATTCAAATTTGAATTTGAATTTAAATATTTTCTATATATAGTATTTCTATACATCTAAAGTTTATATACCTAAAGTTTATAGACCCAAAGTTTATAAGTCAAAAGTTTACATACCCGATTCAAATTTGAATTTGAATTCAAATTTATTATATATATTATTTCTATGCATAAATTTTTCTAACTTTTTTTTTAAATTTTTTTTTGTGGTTTACTGTAGTAGAAAAAGAAGAAAGGGAGGAGGAAGGGGAGAGAGGAGGGAGGAGTGTATTGTATAAGTGAGGGCGCGGACGGGTGATCGCTGGACGGACGGGGGAGCGATCACCCGCCCATTAGACGCCCCCGATATTTTGTGTCTAATAACACAATCGGATAAAATATGACCGAATGTTCGTGTGGTTATTTTAAAATTGATATTTTATCACAAAGAACATATAAACTCAGTAAAAGATCATCGGTTTGTAGGTTCATATGTAATTCATTGTCAATACGCTATATTTACATGTTTGTTCATCTTTGCATATTCTCCCTCAATAACATGAACATAGGTAGATACTATAATTTCAAAGTACAAAGTCTTAAAAAAAATATCAAAGTACAACATATATGACAGTAAGTGAAGAAGGAAATTGATATGTTTTGTTGATCATGCAGCCATGTTATTTTGGACAAAAAAAATGTGTCATTTTTTATTATTGTGTTGATTAGGGTGCAATCGCTACAATGGAGGAAATTCTTTTAAGAAAAAATGTTTTCTCTTTAATTCTATAGTAATTAACTGTGTTAATTAGTGGGATCCTGATCTTATTCTCACATCTTCGTCCCAAATATTTGAACTTGCTAACTAATAACTTGCGTTACTCTTGTTAAGCATGCTAGAAATTTGGGGCTAATTTGAACATCATCGTTTCCAACTTAATCATCGTGCATGCATGAACACATACGCTACATTATATAGACACATGCATGTCAACTTAATTATAAATTTGTGATACATGAAACAACACAAAAATACATTGGGAGAATAGCTAATATGGTACCTAAAGTTTCGATCCTGGGTCATTTTAGTTCTTATTCTTTCATATTGTCCAAACAAGTCCTTTAAATTTGTCATGTGGGCTAATATAGTCCTTGGTCCCACCAAAATTGCCACATGGACATGCCATGTCACCTTTCTATGCAAAATCTATATGATTTGTCTAATTTACCCTTACGCATAGGAAAATAAAAAACAAAAGGAAAATGTTAAAAAAATATATGGTATATGCAAGAGCAAAAATATACCTCAAAATGGTGAAAAAAAGTATTTTTTCCTATGGTTATATCTAATTCACCCTTATATTTATTTTTCTATGATATACGTAAGGGTAAATTGGACAATTCATTATAGATTTTGCATGAATGATGACATGGCATATCCATATGATGGTTTTGGTGGATCCAAGGACTATTCTAGGTCTTATGACAAAGGTTAAGGATTTTTTTGGACCATTTAAAAGGTTAGGGACTAAACTGATCCTACAGAAAAACTTTAGGGACTAAAGTAGCTATTCTCTCAAATACATTCAAATATTAGAAAATGATAAAACTTATTTAGGAGATAAAATTTATGGGAAGATTTACATTTTCGACCGAATGATACAAAATGTATCGGAGACAAAATGCCTCGTAAGATTTACAACTTTTTCTACCAAACAATACGGATCAATTCAGCTAGGTATTTGATTAACCCAAAATACCCATATTTTACTAGTTATTTACTTCGTTGCTATCGGTTACATTAACTTTTATTCCGTACCTTGCCCCTCTCTTGATCAATGGTTTACATTGTTCTATCTCTTAATATCTTTAAGTACCTCGCAAACACTGTAAAAGATATCGAGTTTAGGATGACCAACTAAGTACGCTAGTAAATAAGCAACCTTGTCACTGCAGATTGCGTGAAACCGTGCCCCAAGGCCATCATCAGTACAATAATTGTATCATCTGATAGTGTAAAGAGGTGATCAAATTCTGGGCATTAATCATGTGTTGTTTGAGAGAATTAAGTGGTTAGCAGTTACCAGCTGGCTGTTCCTTGGTGGTTGTGCATCAAATATATAGCTCGATATATAATATGAAAGACCGCCAGCTCTACTCATACACAAGGCTAGGGTGGTTCGGATGAGAACTCATTGCTCTCGCCATGGCAGTCTTCCCATTTTGAGCCACCTCACCACGTTGAAAGTTGAAAAGCAAACATTTCACAGTGGTGAGGCAGGGGAGGTTTTCAAGAGAAGCATTAGTTAGAAACTCTGGCTTAGATTCATCCATTTCAACTCTGAGTAGCTCTAGCCTTGGCATAGATCCCGCTGTAAAAATTGGCTGCTGACCCGTGAGATAAAACTGCCTCAAGCATGAGAATCCATGGCAGCCACTGATGAGGAGCCTATCCTCGTACCCTGGTTCTCCTCTTGGTATATTGAGATGAAGATGTAGCAGAGAAGGTAGGCGACCGAGGGTGGTTAGATCTTCATCACTGACATCCTTTAGAATAAGGCCTAACCTTTTAAGCTGGACGAATGAGCGCATCCAACTCGGAACCTGTACCATAGGTGAGTCAGAGATGTCAAGTTCTTCGAGTTTAAGTGGTGAAGGGCACCACGGATCTGGTAAGAGGCTGTTAGGCAATTCGGTATAACCCACGATATATAGACGACGGAGGTTATGTCTACCTAATTCAACTAGACAAGAGGCAATAACCTTCACGTGCTCATCGCATATATCATCGTTGGGCATAAACAACTTCAGTTCCCTCAAATTCTCTAGCTGGCCAAGTTCTTTTACAATGTTAGATGAATGGTTGGATAGGTCAACCCATTTTAATGTCTCTAGTGACCGCATCTTCGCAATACCTTCCGGGAGTTGAATCCGAATGTCAGTAAATAGATGTACCAAATTTCCCAGCCTTGTAATATGTGGTGGTAGTCGATGCATATTGCTGCCTTCTAAGTTCAGCGCCTGCAAGTTCTGCAGAAATCCGATTTCTTCTGGCAGTTCATTTAGACCTGTTTTCCTGAGGTTCAGGAATCTTAGCTGAAACAACTTTCCTATATTTGCAAGATGCTGGCTCTGCAACCACCTGCAACCTTGAAAGCTCAGAACACGCAAGTGCCGAAACTCCACTAGAGAAGGGATCTCCTGTAGATGCAGCCAAAACACATCAAGAGATCGAGCATGAGACAACATTGTTCGTTGGATTGAATTTCCTTCCTCGCTGCCAACTTGAAGGGAGAGCCGACGGATCTTGTTCTGTCCCTCAATAGTTAGACAAGGAGAAGTCACTAAAGTAACAAAGTTATTTTTCTTGGACATCGAGATGATAAAATCAAGAACCGTGTCATGAACTCGACATCCATTGTAGTTTTGCTTCTCAAGTTGTAGCAAATTCCTGTTGACTAGTTCATTGAAACACATTTCTCCTGATTCATACAAGGTATTACTGTCCTCTTTATGAATGAATCCCTCAGCAATCCATCTCAGTATCAAGTCATTCTTCCTAATTACATAGTCTTCTGGAAATATACTTAGATACAAAAGACAAGTTTTTAGATGAGGAGGAAGATCAAAGTAACTCAATGATAAAATACTTATCATTCCCTCAACCGTAGGATTTCTTTCAAGTGCACAACCAATTGAATTTTTCACATGTTCCCATTGATCCTTTGTCCTTAGTTTGTTGGCCAATAAACCAGATATGGCTATGATTGCCAGAGGTAAGCCGTCACATTTTTTCAATATTTGGTCAGAAACTTCTTCAAGGTGTGATGGACATTTTTCCTGAGGGTTGAATAGCCTTCTATGAAATAACGTTCTTGAGTGCACGGTATCAAGGGGCCGTATATTATACAAATGACCACGAAATGAAGAACAACACGATCTAGCGACATCACTTATGCGAGTAGTGGTGATAATTTTACTGCAGCGACTGTTCATGGAGAATGCACCTTTAATAATGTTCCATATTTCCACGTTCCATATGTCATCAATTACAACAAAGTACCTGCATAAATATTAGGGGTGATATATATTAGCATAGATTTAGGTCCAACAAAACTTTCGGATAACACGGCATATACCATGGATGCTATTCCTAAACTTAGTTTAATGTTTTCCCTCCTAAATTTAGATATATCGAACTTTCTAGCTAGGATTTCTCTTTAGGCCTAGAACAGATTAAGGAAAATATATACTACTCTGAACGAAAAAAAAGAAGCATTTGGCTATCAATTTTCACTTAAACGTGTAAAGAAATTATTTTAGGCCAAATCCCCTCCATTATAATGTACTGCCAATATATATATACCGCTAGTATAAATGATCAAATGGTATTGAGTAATTTTTCTAACCAATTAAAATTGTACTCCCTCGATACTCGTAAAGGAAGTCGTTTTGGGCAGCAACACGGTCTCCAAAACACAACTTTTACTTTTTTGTTTCTACAAAAATATTTATTGAAAAGTGATATATGTATACTTTTATAAAAGTATTTTTCAAGACAAATCTTTTCATATATTGAAAAGTGACAGACTTCCTTTAGGAGTACAGGAGTACGGAGAGAGTATATCTAGGCAATTAGAGACAGATTAGCAACAAACATAATTTACCATAATGATCTAGTCCTGATATAGTACACTACTAGCTATAGTAAATACTTCCATTATATTGTATTGTAAAAGTTCTCTAAGTGTATGTGCATGCACTTAATTTTTGGAAAGCTAGCAACTCAAGAGATATAATTAACTAATAATAAGAATTAAAATGACCATAAGTTGTAATCCACGTGTTCAATTTTATAACATCCATAGTGACCAAAATCAATTTATAAGAAATAAATATCTATATAAGGAATATTATCTCCGTTCTCAAATAGATATATCGTTTTCGGTTTTCTAGGTGAAAATTTCCAGTTGGCACACAGCTAAACGCATGGTTCTTTGTAGCAATCCAAGACGAAAAGTAGGTGATTGGAGCTAATAATAATGCTTAATTAGGGGCAAACTGGCAATTTTTGCTGCATCTAACACAATTTCATTGGTCTGCGCAATAACATCTTTTTCCGAACGGAGGTAGCATGCATGTCATTTGAGCACATACCCCTCTCGTTCGCATGGCATCCGAATAACTAAATACTGTACAAACTATATATTGGCAACGTATATTATGTCGTCATACATCATTCTATAAACATGCATAGCTAAATTAGATCATATGTAAATAAAAATTACAAATTCAATTGTGCCAACGTTTTCATGTAAAAGAATATTTTTTTTGAGGGAAATGTAAAAGAATATTTATCTAGGGACCACACTATTACCTTTTTTTTGAAAGAAAATTGGAAATTTTAATAATAAGTTGTTGTTCATCTCCAGCTTCAGTCACAGCATAATCACGTTGTGTCACCTCACTTAAAATAGTTCTCAGAATTCTCATCATGTCTGGATTTCGTGATACTGATACGAAAACCGAACAGGAAAAATTTCCCTTGAGCTGTTGGTATACTTGGTATGCAAGAGTAGTTTTACCAAGTCCTCCAAAACCAACAACCGAGACAACCTTTGGATGTTGTTGCTTTGACTCACAGCCATCATCATCGGACAATAATTTGATTACTTCATTTTTCGGCCCTTCAATACCTACAAGATTTGAAGCATGCTCAAAGATAGAGAGAGCCCTGTGGTCAATGATTGTATTGCTGGTCCTGCAGATGGTCTTCTCTGATCTATACCTTGCATGCCTTTCTCCGACAATGTTGATTTGGCTCTTGAAATCTTCTATTGCCTTGGCAATTCGACGTTTAGTCTTCATATTTGCGAGCGATTTCTTACACTTACTGATGAACCCATCTGGAGTGGCAGATTCATCATCAACATGGACCATGAACTCGTCAATAATGTCCTCCATGTCGTAGGATAGCTCCCTTACTTCCGTCATCCAAGCCTGGTCTTGGGCATCAGGATTCTCCTCCTCTGACATATTGAGAAGGAACGCATGGATGGCCATGAGTTCGGTAGAGAGAGACTTGATCTCCTTGTGCAGCCCCTTGAAGATCGTGTACTTATCACCAAGCAGAGCGGCTAGCTTCGCAAGGACGGGCTTCAAGGCCCCGGTTGCTGTGCTCACTAGAGCTCCCTCCATCTCTTAAAACTCTGTCTGTTTTGAGGGCAACAACAAACCCGAAAATTATTTTCCATTAGGAACAGAAACATGAATCTGTTGCTAGCTGATACAGAATACATGTACGAATCATATACAGGGACATAATTAAGCTTGCTTAAGCCACAAGCACGCAAGACAGAGCCTTAAGCCGGAGGGATATAGTAGGCATATAGCACACAAACCTGAAAGTGATCTGTATAAAGAGGAGATGACAGATCAGGGTCAGAAGTCACCACAGAGCAGAAGAAAACTCAACAAAAGCTGCAGATATATCGGTATATATGCTGTACTATGCTATTAGCCTTCTAGAGAATGGTGTCGCTGGAACCGATCGAATTTGCCAGGGCATATATATACCGCTGAGCAGCGAGACTTGACGCGCCTTGCCGGTACGACACGGCCGGGCAGGAATGAGTTTTTGCTGGGGACAGAACTTGTTGATTCAGGTGTGTCAGGTTTCCCTAAGTGATCGACAAACAAGCTGTGGAAAAACACACGCGAACACGAGGAAACACGCTGAGTTTTGTGGTGCGATGAAGCTTCACCTTTTCGGTTTTTTTTCTTCTCCTTTTATTATGCAAATAACAGACTTAGGATTCGATCCCACGTCCCGGTTCTTTCGCGTCCATCCCCGCGATCCGAGAGACGCGTTCACGTCCCGTTGTCCAGGCCAGTCGCGAGTTAATCTCGTTGACAGCCACTACGTGCACGGCATCCACAACCCGGAGCTCGCGCATGCAACAACAGAAAAACTAACATGCATGGGCATCCACAACCCGGAGCTCGCGCATGCAACAACAGAAAAACTAACATGCATGCAGCAACAGAAAGGAACGTAAAACTAGCTACTACTAGATACATCGTGTAAGGTTTATTTCCAACAAATCTCCCCCTAAACCTTGCACGTCCCTTTAACTTCGACGAGGCCAATCCTTGTGCACAGTTTATTGAACCGATCACGCCCAAGTGACTTCGTCAGAATGTCCGCCAGTTGATCGTTTGTACTGACGAACTCGATCTTCACCCTGTCCTCCTCAATGCATTCTCTGATGTAGTGATATCTGGTCTCTATATGCTAGCTGCGATCGTGGAAAACAGGGTTTTTGCTGAGTTGAATTGCCGACTGATTGTCGACATTGAGTGTGACGGCGTCGGCTTCTTCTCCCTTGAGCTCGGCAAGAAGACGCGCCAGCCACACACCCTGGCAAGCAGCTGTTGTCGCCGCAATGTACTCCGCTTCACAGGACGATAAGGCAACAACCTTCTGCTTCTGAGATTGCCAGGTAATCAAGTTGTCACCGAGGAAGAAGAAGACACCGGTGGTGCTTTTCCGCGTGTCGACGTCGCCGGCGAGATCGCTGTCACTGAATCCAACAAGATGAACAGCTCCTTTCTTCCTCCGGTAGCTGCAGCCGCGATTGATGGTGCCGGCGACATAGCGCAGCACACGTTTCACGGCTGCCAGATGCTCGGTAGTGGGTTTCTCCATGAATCTACTCACATAACCCACTGAGAACGCCAAGTCCGGTCTCGAGTTCACCAAATAGCGCAGCGACCCAACAATTTTCCTGTAATCAGTTGCATCCACGCAAGGAGATGTGCTCAACTTACTGAGTTTGAGGCGTGGCTCCATTGGAGTCTGGCTCGGGTTGCATCCAACCATGCCTGCTGCCTCAAGTATCTTCTTTGCGCACGCACCCTGGCTCAGGGTGATGCCCTCGTCGGTCTGACTCACCTCCAGGCCAAGATAGTACCGAAGTAGCCCGAGGTCGCTCATCTGGAACGTCTCCCGCATCTCCTTCTTGAATTGATCAAGCTCGGAGTGGTTGCCGCCGGTGATGACAAGGTCGTCGACGTACACCCCGACCACCAGTCGACGTGCGTTAGCTCCGCGCATGTACACAGCGTGCTCTGAGGCACTGCGATGGAACCCAAGTGACAGCAGCGACGCGTCGAGCTTGGTGTACCACGCACGCGGGGCTTGACGAAGTCCATACAACGCCTTCACCAGGCGCAGCACCTTCTGTTCCTTGCCGTCGACGACGAAACCGGGCGGCTGCGCGACGTAGACTTCCTCCTTGAGCTCGCCGTTGAGGAACGCTGATTTCACGTCCATATGATGGACGGCCCAACCTTCGCTCGCCGCGTACGCCAGCAGCAAACGAACCGACTCGAGCCGTGCAACTGGGGCGAACACTTCGTCGTAGTCGATTCCCTGCCGCTGCACGTATCCTTTTGCGACGAGCCGCGCTTTGTGCTTGGTGATGTTGCCGGCGGCGTCTTTCTTCGTCTTGAAGACCCACTTGAGTCCTATGGGCCGCTGGCGAGGTGGGGGATCGACGAGCAGCCAGGTTCCGTTTTCTTCAATTGATTTCATCTCATCCAGCATAGCTTGACGCCAACAGTCTTGCTGTTGCGCCTCGGCGAGAGACGCTGGCTCTTCAGCACTTGCCATCATGAGTTCGTCATCGAACTCGCGCACAGCCAGTCCCGGCGGGGTCGCCGGTCCTAATATCTCGTCGACGCGGCGGAACCGAAGCGGAGCATCATCATGATCGGCGTCGAGGTCGTCCGCGGCGATGGTTGGTGGAGTCGCGAATTCCGCCGATGTCGCAGTTGTGCCCGCCGTGGCGGCAGGTGTGCATGGACTTGTCGATGTCGCGGGCGGAGTCGGTAGCTCCGGCTGCTCCGAGTCAGCTCGTGGCACGTTCGCCACAGCTGGGTGGTACACAGTGGTGTACTCGATGGTGAAGTCCAGCTCACTCGCCGTCTCGCCGTCCCACCTCCATTGCGCCTCTTCGTCGAATGCGACGTCACGTGAGATGTGCACGCGCCGAGAGGCAGGGTCGTAGCAGCGATACGCCTTCGACCCCGGCTCATAACCCACAAAGATCATGGGCTTACTCCTGTCGTCGAGCTTCTTGACATTCGGCGTGGTGGTCTTGACGTGTGCCAAACACCCGAACGTCCGCAGGTGGTGGACGGCCGGCGGCGATCTGTTCCACAGCTCGTATGGTGTCTTCCCACCAATACTTTTGGATGACGACCTGTTCAGGAGATAAACAGCTGTGGTGACTGCCTCCCCCCAAAACATACCTGGCAGCCCTTTGGCTTTGAGCATGCTCCGCGCCGTCCCGACCACCGATTGGTTGCGACATTCCATGACGCCGTTTTGTTGCGGCGAGTAGGGCGCCGTCGTCTCGCGTCGGACTCCCAGCTCGGCGCAGTAATCCGCGAAGTGGTGGACCAGGAACTCTCCCCCCTATCCGTGCGAAGAGCATGTAGCTTCTTGCCGCTCTTGCGTTCAGCCGCGGCTTGGATGCGCTTGATGGCTGCCGCCACCCCATCCTTGGAGGGGAGCAGCGACAACCACATGAAACGGCTGTAATCATCGACGAGAAGGAGAAAGTACCGGTTGCCGGTCGGAGTTGGTGGCGAGATCGGGCCGCAGAGGTCGCCGTGGAGTAGTTGGAGCGGCTCCAGGGAGCGCTGTTGAGCCTGCTGTGGGAACGGCGTCCGACGGTGCTTGCCGGCGAGGCAAGCCTCGCAAAGCTGGTCAACTTGCGACACAGCCGGAAGACCGCGCACCAGCTGCTCTCTGGCCATTTTCCGCAGCGCAGTGAAGTTAATGTGGCCGAACCGTGCATGCCACTTCCATGCTTCGTCGCCGATGCGTGCCGTAAGGCAGACCGGGCGCGCGAGCTCGACGTCGAGGACGTAGAGACGTCCAGGATTGCGGTGAATACGGGCAAGCAGGCGCCGCTGCTCATCCCATATCCGCATAACGCCATCCTCGGCCTCCACCTTGAAACCGGTCTCGTCTAGCTGCCCGACACTAATGATGTTAGCAGCGAGGCGTGGAATGAGGTAGGTGTTGGCGAGGGTTCGATGCTCCCCATTCTTACAGGAGAAGAGCACGGTGCCTCGCCCTTCGATTCGGACGACGGAGCCGTCTCCTAGTCGGACGTTGCCGGTGATGCCTGTGTCAATGTCGGAGAAGGCCGTCCGGCAGCCGGTCATGTGGTTGGAGGCGCCGGAGTCCACAATCCAGCTGCCCGGATCACGCTCCGCGGCGTCGTCGAGCGCCGCGAACAGCTTCTTTTCCTCCAGGTAGATGGGATCGGATGACGGAGTTGGCGCAGACGGCGCTGGTGCATGCTCCTGTTCACGTGCATGTGTGATTACTCCTCCTGTGAGGAGAAGCAAGGTGGGCTCGTCGTCTTGGGCCACGTGGACCTGTTCATCCCGCTTGGGCTTGCTCCTGCAATCCTTGGCCCAGTGGCCGTATTTGCCACAGTTGCGGCATTTGTCTTCACGACGGGCCGCTCCGGAGTTCGTATTCTCCGCGCCGCCGACTCCAGCGCCGCCGCCGTTGCGGCCTTTGCCGCCTCGCCGCTTGCCACGGTTGCTTGGGCTGCCTGAGTTCTTCTTTGCCTCCTGCTCCTTTTTCTTGTGGCGCTCTAGCCATTCTTCCTCGGTGAGGTAGAGCTTGCCGGCGTTGTCTGAGGACGAAGATGGCAATGGCATGGCGTCCTCACCTGCCTTGAGTCTGCCGGTCACCTCCTCCAGGGACAGTGTAGAGATATCAAGGAGAGTTTCAATGGAAAGGACGAGTTGGGTGAACCTGGGACGGGCGACGCGCAGGTACTTCTCGACGACCTTGTCTGCCGGCTCGGGATCGCCGAGCGTCGCGAGTTGATTGACGGTGGAGGTCAGGCGCATGGCGAAGTCCTCCACGGTCTCACCGTCGCGAAGGACGAGCGACTCGTACTCCATGCGCACCTTCTGTGCGCTTGCTTTGCGAATTCGGTCGTCGCCGATTCGCAGGATCCTGATGCAATCCCATGCCTCCTTGGCCGAGGCCTTGGTGGCCAAGGTCGAGATCATCTCGGGGGGCACCGCGCTGCAAATGGCGTCAAGCGCCATCCTATCCTCATGAAGCTCGACACCGCCTGGATCGATGGCGCCCCACAGGCACCGGGCTTGCAGTTTGATCTTCATCAGCAAAGACCAATCGTTGTAGTTGGTTCTTGTCAACAGCGGGTAGTTCGCCGCACCTCCTGCTTCCTTGACCACGCGGTGGATCACCAGCCCGCGGTCGCTCCCGCCGCTGCCCGAGGCGCGGCCGCCGGAACCTGAAACATGCACGGACGGTGACGCCGACCGCCGGCGCGGGGAGTGCGTGCGTCCTCGAGGCATGAAGACACCCTCAAGAGCGCGATCTCGCGTCCACGCTCTGAACCGAGCTCTGATAC